AGCGTTGCGACGGGGCATGAAGGCGAACCCCAAGGCCCGAGCTGCGCCCGCGGCTGCCCCCGCGACCGACCCCCGAAGCACAGAAAGCCCAAGGCGCTGGGGCGGACCCCCAGAAACCGGCCCAGTCAGCAGCACAGCGCCCGGCCGTGCTCAGGGCTGCCTCCTCGCTCTGTGCTCAGAGATGGCACCCGCGACCCCAGGGGCCGCGGTTGGCAGCAGGGCTCAGCCCGGGCACTGCCACGTGCGAGCAACCGCCAGCCCCACTGTGCGGGGCTCTCGGGGCTCCCTGTGCAGAAGCGCGAATTCTCTCGGGCATCTCCCTCCCTCGGAATTCCAGAAACGCCGCTTGACTTCACTATTCAACTTCTCCTCCTGACATTCTCTCTATTTTGAATCTGGGGTCACGCCGGAAGTGTTCGGGGTTCCTCCTGGCTCTGCACTCAGGAGTCTCTCCTGGCGGTGCTCAGGGATTCTGAGGATGCCCGAGATCGGATCCGGGTGGGCCAGGCAAGGCGCGCACCCTCCTGCTGAAATTCTCCTCCTGAAATATCCAAAAACACCTGGGTGAGGTTAAGGACTGACTGTTCCGCAGAGAGCCATGCCCTGCTCCCCGAGGACCGGCAGGGACCGTCTCCCACAGCAGGCGCAGGCCTGGGTGGTGCAGGGCTTGTCACAGACCTCCTCTGCCCTAGATTTCCCCCGGGGGGAGAGGAAAGCCGTGAACACAATGTCCCCTGCCCCCTTCGCTTCAGACGCTGCCCCTTCCCCTGAGCGGTGTTCAAAACCTGGACTCTGGCCGGCCCCTTTTCAGCAGCAGCTCCGCACCAGCCGGAACTTGCGCAGGGCTGATTGGATTCAGCGCCCAGCACACGGCCCCAGGGCCCGGGTACACGCATCCTGCTGCCCAGGGCAGTTTTGGATTCGGACAAAGTGGAAAAGATAACCGACTCCGACCGTGCCGCCAGCCCTGATGGCACCTGCAGCCAAGGCCAGGATGGGGCCCTGACACCCACAGGAGCTTTTCTGTCTTCCAGGAGCACAATCTGCCCTTCGAAGGGGGTGGCAGGGGGCTGGAGCAATAGCACAGCGGGTAGGGCGTTTGCCTTGCACGCAGCCGACCCGGGTTCAATTCCCAGCATCCCATATGGTCCCCTGAGCACCGGCCAGGGGTAATTCCTGAGCGCAGAGACAGGAGTAACCCCTGTGCATTGCTGGGTGTGAGCCAAAAAGAAAAAAAAAAGGGGGGGGGTTGGCAGTGGCCATGGCCACAGTCACCGTGATGACTGTAGCAGGTGGAGGGTCTCATGACCACGCTCCACACCACCGTGGCCCAGTGCCATCCCCATGAGCACAGGCTCCAGGAGCCGTGCAGGCGCTGACACCCAGCAGGCGTGGGGGTCTCCCCTCACCCAGCCCGATCCTGGGCTGCTGCTCCTACAGTGGGGGCGTCCACAAGCACAGGTGCTGGGTTCGGGGTCCCCAAGGACCTCCAGGACACAGCACCCAGGGACCATCTGTTCCAAAAGAGCACTGCAGGAAGAGCACAGGGAGTCCCCCACCTTGCCAAGAACTCCTTACCTCAGTTTCCCTCCCAGAGCCCTGAGCAGTGGAGGGGCTCAGAGGGCATTCCTGGTTAGGTTAGAGCACACTGCACCCCAAACACCCCGGAATTAGACCGTCTCTGAAACAGTCTGGCGCAGCAAGGAGAAAGGGAGGTGGAGTGAGACGGGAGAGGGGGTCCCGCTGTCTGGCAGTGGAGGAAACCAGGGTTTGGGGGTGCATTGCTGAAGCACCCACAGAGGGCTCCGCCTGGCCAGAGAAGCCCTCTAGGAGACAACCCCCACGTCCCCTCCAGCAGCTGCAGAAAGCAGAGGCTTTGTAGAAGAAAAACGTATCCTCTGGTGTCACTGTGCCCGGGACTGCTGGGACTCTTCCTGGCCTACACCCCGGGCCCCGAGCCCAGGGTGATGCCGCAACAGCCCCCCACACACCCCAGCCTCCATATCTGTCCAGCCAGGGGACCCCGCGCTGGTCAGCTAACGGGCAGAAAGCTGGCCCGTCACCTGCAAAAGCCTCACTCACCCTGGTGGGGGCGAGCCAGCCCGAGGGGAAGTGGAACCAGGCCAGCCAGCACGCTGGCACGGTGCGCCGGTGTGGCCCCGCAGCAGGCCTGTTGGCTAGCCTTGCATGAGGACCGAGCCCTGGCAGAGACAGCGACCTGGAGCCTCAAAGCCAGCAGGGTTGATTCTGCTGATGGGCGGACACTCACCCCACCGTGCTCAGTGCCCGTTCAGGGACGGTGCTGTGTGTGGCATCAGGAAAGGTGCTTTTGCCATTCTTCTGTTGGTCCATCAGCTCAAAGCTGGCTTTTAGTTTTCCCTTGGCCATTTCACGCTTGCTGTGTGTACTGGGCTCAGAAAATGTAGTTCAAATGTCCAAGAAACCAAGTGACTGACAAGTCGGCACAGTGTTTACTGGCAGACTCTTGGGCCAATCTGTCCGTTTACTTTTGTTGTAACAAAATATTTTGGGAGCTGGAGTCACAGTAATGGGCCTGAGGCCGAGCCTGGTGTGGTCCCCTGAGCACAGGTGGGTGTGGCCCAGCCTCCTCACCACATAATCCCTTTCCTTTCGTGTTCAGTGACACCACACAACCCTGCATTAACACAGAAAGCAGTGGCTATAGGAGCACAGTTGGCGGGGTCAGAACAGAGAGGGATGGGCAGAGGGAGCCAGGACAGCGGGTAAGGCCTGCCTGGCATGCCGCTGACCCGGGTTCGAGCCCTGGACTGCACGTGAGCAACTGCCTGGAGTGAAGCCTTGAGAACGGCCAGGTGTCCCCCAAAACCAAAATGTTTTCATTGAAAAAAGCAAGCCCCTGGGGGCTAGAGTGATAGCACAGCAGGGAGGGCGTTTTGCCTTGCACGCAGCCAAGCCGGGTTTGATTCCCAGCAACCCATATGGTCCCCTGAGCACCGCCACGAGTAATTCTTGAGTGCAGAGCCAGGAATAACCCCTGTGCATCACTGGGTGTGACACAAAAAGCAAAAAAGAAAAAAAAAAAGTAACCCCTGCAGGACGGTCCACAGCACGATTACTGGGGGTGTATGTATGTGGGCAGGGGGTGCTCCCAAGCAGTGCTCAGCAGGTCTGGGGCCCTGCCAGACTCCCCCAACCGTCATCTTTTAGGACCGTTCCTGGCTTCTTCCCTAAGCCTTCCACAGCCAAAACTACTCCCCAGAAAGGGTTCATCTTGCCCTAGATTTTTGTAGGATGAAAAAAGGGGTGGTGGTGGCACACGGGGCCCTGGACTCTCCAGGAGCCGACAACTGCTGTGGGGAAGGCATGCCCACCCACCTTGGATCCTGGCACGGAACCTGGGCCAAAAGCACCTCCAGGGGCCACTCCAGAGAACTCAGCCAAAACAACCCGAGCACGGCTGCGTGGGATCAGAAAGACTCCGTGAGTAACTGAGCCCCTGGCACCCGAGTCGAATGCAAGAATTTTCTACTCGAAAGTCTTTATTGTGGCTCGAGTATCATGGATGCCCAGCAAGCAGCCGTGACAGCCACGGAACCCTGCGGCGGCCCTGCCAGGAACCATGGGAGGCAGAGCGGACCCTTTCTGGCTTCTCTTTTTGGTTTTTTTGGGATCACAACTGCCAATGCTTAGGGGTTACTCCTGGCAGTGCTCGGGGGACCACATGGGATGCCAGGGACTGAACCCAGATCGGCCACGTGCAAGGCAAACACCCTCCCCACTATACTATCAACCGGAACCCCTGGCTTTTTCTTTCCTGATGTTGATGGTCGGTCCCAGAGTCTCCGACAACCCAAAACCTAAGGCTGCCATGAGGCTAGAACCCCAGATTTATTGATCTTATTCTCTTCTTGGCTGCGTGCAAGAGTTACTTGTGGCGGTGCTCAGGGGACCATATGGGATGCTGGGAATCAAACCTGGCTTGGCTGAGTGCTAGGCAAATGCCCTACCTGCAATCTGATCGGAGAAAACATTAGGTAATAACAGGAACGCTCTTCAGCCTCAGGTGAGCTGCAAGGCAGTGGAGATTTGAAGAGGCGGCGAGCAGGAGCTCACGTGCTCCTTGGCGACACTCCAGAGCTCCGCGTCTCTCCTCAGGCACTCTGGGAGAGCCCAGGGACAGAGACACTGCTACCGTAAAGGCTCACAGAGTGGGTCCTTGGCAAGGTCAAGGCCACTGACCATGCAGGGCTGCATAGTAGGATGCCGCCGCTCACTGCTGCTAGAATCCAAGGGGAAGGATCACAAACACGCTTTAATTAGATTCTAAGTTTTCTATCCAAGCAGTTTTTCAAATTTAGCCCCTGCTTCAATTCGAAGAGGATACAGCAAGCAGCCTTTTTGATGTTAAAAACCAAAACAAAGTTGGGTTTTTTGCTGTGGATTTTTTATGGGGGTCACACCAAGCGATGCTCAGGGCTTGGGAGACCAGATGTGGTGTTAGGGGTTGAACCTGACTGGACACCTGCAAGGCAAGAGCCCTACACACTGTAGTTATCACTCTGCCCTGTACTCTGTCGAGTACTCTCTCGACCCAGGTTCGATCCCCAGCACCACGAGTCCCAGGAGTGATCCTTGAGCACAGAGCCAGGAGTAATCGCTCAGCACACTGTGTGGCAATAAAACCTGCACACACTCCGCCTCCACGAGTAAATAGAAGTTGCAGTGTTACCATTTTCCTAGAGTAAAAAAGCTGGGAGCTTGGTAACAAGTTTGTGTAGTATTACATAGTCTGCTCTAGTCTTATTATTTTGGGGGGAAGGAAAGCCATACTGTGCGTGCTCAGGGCTGACCCCTGGCTCTGAGTTCAGGAGGCCACGAGCAGTTCCAGGGATTGAACCCAGGTTGAGCGCATGCAAGGCAAATGCCTTCCCTGCTGTATCATCACTCTGGCCCCACGCTCTACTCAATACTTACTTACCCTTATCCAATTTTCCCCCAAAAAGAAAAAACAAAACAGATCCAGTGGGAGAAAGAATGTTTAATAAATGGTGTTGAAACAAATAGCTATCTGTTTGGAATAAAAATAAAATTAGTCACTTATACCTTGCACCATATAGAAAAATACATATATTACTGATGGATTCAAGAGTAAAAAAAATGCAAGTACCCCAAATTCTACGTACAATTTTAAGAGATTCACAGACTCCCTAAAGTTCATTCATGGATCTCAAGATTATCTAGAAGCAAAGTTGTTAATAACAACTTCTTGTAATCTCAATGCCAAATACCAAGCGTATTTTTGAGATCAAATCACAAGCAACAAATGAAGATGAACACATTAACTAATTGTTGTAACTTTATAAAATCTTGAAACTGGAACTAGAAACAGAGGCGCATCAATACAAATGGAACATGACTTAAAAAAAGAAAAAAGACTAAGTGTGAGTGCATACTGTACACATGAATCCATTTTCCTATTAGCTGTTCAGAAATATATAATCAGCTAAATCTGTAGTAATTAAAACTCCATCTGTGCAATGTTATTCCCAAACTTGGTTAAAATAATAAATACAAGTTGTATTTAATATGAATACCTGCAACATACTTAAACATCTAAACGTGTAATGGGAATTCTTAATATTAAAATGCAATACTTTCACCTGCATTAATCTCATAGACAATGGAAAAATACTTGCAGTTAATTAGCATTAAGAATGCAAATATATTTTCACCGTGAAAGGAAAACTGTAAGATTAGAAATCATATATATCTGGGAACTCTAGATGGCCTACATTATGATATTCTATTTTTAAATGAAAACAATTCAGTATTTAAGTTTACAACAAATTTACCAAAGGCAAAATATCTGTTTATTACAGAACAAGATATTAAATCAAAGTAAGCAAGGCAACATTAGATCAATTATTTTAGATTTTTTTAAGTGAAGTATAACTTTAAAACTGTAATAAAGATGATCATAAATTCTAACATGCTCTCCTCTTCTTATAAATGGGATGATGTAGAAAAGCAAAGTTTCAATGTGTACGGATTGGAACCATCTGCAAAAGTTAAAATTAAAAAATTTGTTAACCAAACTTTCAAGATGACTAATACATTAGTAGAGTCAATTATTGCATGTTTTAACTACTATAACTACAAAGAAAAGGAAAAAAAAAATTTTTTTTTTGAGAGGTGTTTTGGAGCCTTACCTGACAATACTCAGGGGTTACTCCTGGCTCTGCACTCAGAAATTACTCCTGGTGGTGCTTGAGGAACCATATGAGATGCCAGGGATTGAACCCGGGTCGGCTGCATACAAGGCAAGAGCCCTACTGGCTGTACTATCTCTTAAGCTCCCCAGGGCTTATCCTGACTCTGCTCTTGGGGATCACTTCATCTGGGGTGCCAGGGACTGAGCAGAGTTGGTCCTGTGTAAGGCAAGTGCCCTCCTCACTATACTGGCGCAGAGCGCCCTGCATGCTGTCCTGTCTCTCCAGCTCTTCCTACTACTCGAGAGGCTCTCAGAGACAACACAGAGTGATTCTCAGTAAATTATCCTAAGATGAATATCGATCGTCTCTTTCTATCAGCAAAGTTCACTATGTAGGAAATACTGTCGCTGGTAACTCCTCTATAAAAGCTTATGCAAATAAAACTTGGGGAAGTGGGACGACTGGAATGAATGCACACGGAGATACTCAGTTGAAAACGTCAAGCTGATATACTAAAAATCTCTGATCGGCACAGAACATGCAAATTCTGAAATCACTTTTTAAAAAAAAAGCTAACTTGGTATTATTCACAAAAATACTACATATATATAAACTTTTCAATCCAGGCAGAAATAATTCATCAACTGACTATATATAAGAAATCACAAGAAAGAAAACAATTCTGGTATCTTAATAGACCAGAAATTCAGCAGGGGTACCACAATGCCCAGAGAACAGTCCCTGCACGGGGTTCCCGAGTTACTTCCAGGCAGCTTAGGGGACTGTGAGATGGATGCTAAGATAGACCCTGGGCTCCCAGCCCTTTGAGCCACTCACTCGCAGGCTCCATCCTCCATCAGAATTTCAGTATTAAGACCTACAGCTCCTCTGGGGCTGGAGAGAGTGCAGCACAGCAAGGCAGGACACGTGCTTTGTATGGGCCCCACCTGGGTTTGATCCCTGGCACTCCACCTGGCTTCCTGAGCACCACAAGGAGTGCAGAGACAGGAGTTACCCCTGAGGATCGCCAAGGTAGTATCAAACCCCCTTCCCCAAAACACCTACAATTCCTTGGGGGAGATTCACATAAAAAGTCATATATATCAGTATTTTCAAAGTATCCAGAGGTTAAAAAGTGTCTCCGTCTTTAAGGACTTGAACCTTGAATACGTCCCTGACCAGAGCCAGAAGTGATTCCTGAGCAGAGAGCCAAGAGTAAGCCCTGTGCATAGCCAGGTGCTGCTCCAAACCCAGAGACAGACAGGACTATGAAACCCCATGCAAAAGCACTGGCGTCTGCGTCTCTGCTCCCGTCCGTCTTGACCTTCTGGTTCTGAGAGATGACCGCGACCCCAGAGGCCCAGAAGAGCTCCCTTCTTCATGTTATGTTGTACTGTTGTAGTTTTGAGACCACATCTAGTGAAGCTCAGGCAACACTCCCGGCGGGCCAAGGGTCACATCAGTGGGTGAGCTGCACCCCGCTTCCGAGTGTTCCAGCAGAGGGCCTCTGCGTTAACCACTCGTCAGAGCTGAGTTTGGTCCCGTCAGCTTCCAAGGACAAGCTGATACGACCTCAGCAGCGCCCACACTACGCTTCAAATGCCATGGTACAGAGTACACAGTTCTTAGCTGGGGGTTCTGGCCCTGAAGTGCGTGGCAATGCATCCAAGGCAGTACTGCCAAGTACAATTTCACTCGGTAAAACCTTCCCCCCACCCACCCAAAAAGAGAGCAAATGGGAACTATTCAGTGTGGCCTCCCCAGAACTGCACACACCCGTGAGTGCTGTGGACGCAGACGTCCCAGCCCACAGGAAGGCCAGATACCAGCTCAACTGGAACCTTGAAAAAAGATCGGAGCCGTCCGCAGTGAACTGACCCTGGAGAGGGTGAAAATATTTGCTGTTTTAAGCACCTCCTATTGCAATTATACAACACGCAGCTTAACATAAATACTAGGCTAATGGGGAGGGTTTATGCCTTTCTCAGACCTTTATACTTTTCTGGATTGAAAAACCAAACCAAGTCTGCTACTTTTCCAAGTGTCCACAATGTCTGTAGAGGAAGCTCCCAGGCAGACTTACTTGGAACCCGTATCTGGTAGTGATTCAGTGCTGTCAGGGCTTCGACGGCGTCGGTTTTGCACTCCCACTCTAAAAGCCCCGAAAGTGTTTTGGCAGAGGCTAGAACAAACAGAACCAAGTTATTAATTGCTTACCAATTAAGCAACAAAAGTTAAAAAGAGGGTAAGTTCACTTACGTTTTGCATCAAACACTTTATACTTGATGAATGTAAGAACTTCATGATCATTACACAACTGCCAAAGAAATGTGAAACTCCATTAAAATGTGCCCTAGTAACATTCCTACTTGTCGAGAAAATAAATCTATGGTAGGACTGAAGGTGTGTTTGAGTGCAGCATGAATTGATTAAACCAAAGATATTTTTAGGCATCAAGCTGGATGACAAAATCAATTAGGACAGCGACAGTTTAGGGGCTGGAGAGAGAGCATGTTCCCACATGGCTTCAATTCCCAGCACAAACATGATCCTGAGTCAAGCAGGAGTGATCCCCAAGCAACAAGACAGGAGTAGCCCCTGAGCACCACCAGTCAAGGCCCCAAAAAACAAAACAAAATGAAATAGTGGTAGTCTAATAAAATTAGTAAATAATTCAATAGTGAACAGTATTAAACAGTAAAAACACCAGCCTTATAACTGAAATAATATTCTCAGAAATGGTGAAATTTATCTTAGTACATAGGACAGGGAGTCAAGTTTGAAAAAAAAAAACCAAAAAACTCTGAAGTACTTCTTACAGTGAAAAAAAGGAAAAAAAAAAGCTTTTGTCATGGGTAAGATTTTAGAACACGGTGGAAAAATTTTCTGCCCACAAAACCCTACCAGTAAAAGTATCGTCTGTCACTGCTTAAAATTAAAAAAATAAAATAAAATTCTGAATGCAGAATTAATATCTTCATTCAAACTCAAACTCAAAAAGATGGAGCCGCAAAATGACAACAAGGAACCAGTGAGGAATGGAGATCAAAAATACTATGGGCAAATAATGAACTAGCAAATAAATCACAGAACACTATCAAAAGCAAAAGAAACAGGAGACTTTAAGATAAGGAGGCTAAATAAGAGACAGTATTTAAGAGAAAAAGTACCATTTTTGTTTGTTTTTGGGTCACACCTGGTGATGCTCAGGACTTACTCCTGGCTCTGCACTCAAAAATCACTCTTGGCAGGCTCAGGGGACCATCGGGAATGCCGGGGATCAAACCCAGGTCACTGCGTGCAAGGCAAGAGCCTTACCCGCTGTACTATTTCTCCGGCCCCAGAAAAAGGAACATTCTTTACATCTGTATTTCAGTGACTACCTTTGTGAAGGTCTCTTCTGTTACACACAACGGGACATTATAATAATGCAGCACACATGAGGGGGGCTGGATTATGTTCTTAGACGCTTGGCCAGCACTTGTAAAGCGATTATTTTTGCTCATTGCAAAATCCTTGTAGCTACTTGTACCATCCTCCAGCTCAAATATCTGACTTGGAACAACTGAATGCTGTTTAGACACACTGGAGATTGGAAAGGGAAAAAATACAGCATACACCTTGTTAGGAAAAAGCAGTAAGAGGTCTCAAATGTTAATATATTTTGCCTGCGTTGATCTTAACCAAAAAAAAATCATACTCAGTTATTTGAGTAGCTTAAATATTTAACATTTTAAAACATTTATGCAAATACTTCATTTAAATTACGTGAGTTTAAATACCAGAGGGAGAAATCTATTTAAATTTTCATATTAGAAAAACTAAACTTGCAATCTATTATCATAAAACTTCTAGATAAGTGAAATCTAAACAATACGATGTTTGTTTTGTTTTGGGGCCACACCCAGTGGTGCTCAGGGCTTAATCCTGGCTTTAAGCTCAGGGATCACTCCTGGCGTGCTTTAAGGACCATATGGGGTGCCGAGAACTGAACCCGGGTCGGCTGCATGCAAGGCAAGTGCCTTAGCTGCCAGACTATCACTCTGGCCCCTGAACTACGATCTGAATACCTTGCTGAAAATGACAACACCGTAGCTGCGAACTTCAGGTGTCCTCAACTCCTTTACAATATGCGTATATTTCAATTGCATCTATCACTTTGAGATACGTAGTTACGACTGATTCAAGACTGGATTTCAGCCACATAATAGTCCGACATCCATCCCTTCGCTAGTGACATTTCCCGCCAACAATGTCCCCAGTTTCCCTCCTGCCAATCCCACCCCACCCCCACCTCTATGGCAGACACTTTGTGTCTCTCTCCTCTCTTCCCCCTTCCCTCCCTCCTCCTCTCACTGCCTCCCTCTCTGTCCTTTCAGGCACTGTGATTTGCAGTACAGTTACTGAAAGATTTTCATGTATATCCCTTTATTCCTTTCGGCACTCAGTTCTTGTCCAGAGTGACCATGTCCAACTATCACTGTCACAGTGGTCTCTTCTCTGTCCTAAATGCAACCCCGCCATGCCCACCCTCTGTGGCAGCTTCCCTCCAGGAAGCAGACCTCCTCCTACTGAAGCAAATGTCTAGGTGATTCTTCCATTGTGGTTTAGGTAGCAGGCTTACAGCAAGGTGAATGTTGATGGTCAAAGTTACCACACCTTCACTATCCATTTAAAGTTAATACTTAAGAAAATTACCAAACATTAAGTCTTTTCCCAAATAATTTGACGTTGTTAAGGTGTGTGACAGCTCTTTCTACGGCATATTCATCACCCATTTCCACTAGCGCTGTACCAGGGATAGTCTTCATAAATTTCACCTGCAAACACAAAATCACAAACAAGCAAACTGAGTTGCTGGAAAGCACTGAAGAGGGGCACAGCTCACTGACTGAGGAAGGTCATTTCTCTGAGCTACAGGGACGATGACAGCATCTGGCGGGACTCATCATCATTTCTGCACTTGACAAACATTAAGTGTCTGGTATATTTTCAGCGTCAATTTGGAGATTTTAGGAGAACAACTTGAATACCCTCCACCGAAGAAAGTCCCGTCCTGTCCGACCCAATACCCAGAGCACATGGAGTGGTGGGAGAGGAAGAAGACCCAGCCAAGCAGCCGGGCCAGCAGACCCAACCGTGGTACTCAATGGGGTGACTGACTGACCGGCTCTCCCTCGCAGCCCAGGGCCTTTTAGTAAGCATTATGCTAAGCATTATGGAGATTGGATGATGAGCATAACAGACATGATCACCACGGACATATCCGAGCAGGGAGGGCGCTTGCCTTACATGCAGCTGTCCCGGGTCTGATCCTCAGCAACCAACCAAACCCTGTCAGGAGTGGTCCCTGGGAACGGAAGGAAGCCCGAGCACCCCTGGGGGGGCCCCCAAGTAAACAAAGTGCATATTCCTCTAGGTAAGCTAGAATATTTTTTAAGCTAAAGGTTTGTTTTTGGGTTGGGGGGGGGGGGAGGAGGACACACCTAGACAACGCTCAGCATTTGGCTCTGAGCTCAGGGATCACTCCTGGCAGTGCTCAGAGGACCACATGGAATGCCGGGGATTGAACCTGGGTCAGCCAAATGTAAGGCAAGCACCTTACCCACCATCCTATCACTCCAGCCCCTAAAGTAAAAGCTCTATTTAGAAAGATATGTTTGGAAAAATATAAGGGGAGAGACAGAGAGTGAGATATGTTCAAGAGAAAACACAGGCTTCTCCAGATGGAAAAGCCAGCAGTACACATCTCAGGTCAAGAAATGAGCAAAACTGGGGCTGAAGCAATAGCACAGCGGGAAGGGCGTTTGCCTTGCACGCGGCCAACCCAGGTTCAATTCCCAGCATCCCATATGGTCCACCAAGCACCTCCAGGAATCATTCCTGAGGGCAGAGCCAGGAGTAACTTCTGTGCATCACCAGGTATGACCCAAAAGAGCAAAAAAAAAAAAAAAACCAGAAAGAAATGAGCAAAACTCCAAAATGTTGAGTAAATAATTTAAAGTTATTCAAAACATAGTTAAAAAGCTATAAATATATGCTGCACAAAAAAATACCAGATGGCTGGGCCAGAGCAATAGTACAGCAGGTAGGGTACTTGCAAGCGGCTGACTTGTGTTTGATCCCCAGAACCTCATGTAGTCCCCCAAGCCCACCAGGAGTGATCCCTGAGTGCAGAACAAGGATTGGCCCCAACACACCAATATCAAACTCCACATGACTCTGAATTCTTCTCATCACTGTAAATGCTTATGCAAGGTGATAAAACAGGCACATTTTAACGACTTTCCAAGTCAGGGCAGGTGCTATTTATCCTCTTAGATCACTTCAACTTTAGTACGTAACATAAGGATAAGCCATCAGGCAAAGTGTTTATTAATGTTTGGAAAGTCTCTGAACACTATTAAGTAACACAAAACTTCAAGTACCTTGAACACGCTTTCCTTCTAACCTGCCAACTGTAAAGAAATACTGAGAATAAACTTCCACAGCAAAAGCAACACAGCCCTTACGCCTATCACGGCAGCAACCAACTCTCAATGGGCCAGCTGAGCATTTTATTCTACAACTGTATTACAGCAAAACTCAGTTTTAGCTTTTGTATCAAATGAGTTGCTCAATTTCTCTCTTGATTTAATCCAGAGAGTAACTAAACATCAGCTAAACACGTGGCATTAGTACTGTCCCTCTCTGGGCCCAAGACCTCCAGCAGGCTATGTCTACTGGACACCTGGCACATTCTCCAGCATCCCCAGGGATATAGAGGCCAGTCGGGGAAGAAAGACCATACATAAATCTTGAATGAATTATGACTGGCTTTAATTCAACATATCCCCGTGTATCATTTAAAACGTATGTTTTGGGGCTGGAGAGATAGCACAGCAGGTAGGGTGTTTGCCTTGCACGCGGCCGACCCGGGTTCGATTCCCAGCATCCCATATGGTCCCCTGAGCACCGCCAGGAGTAACTCCTGAGCGCAGAGCCAGGAGTAGCCCCTGTGCATCGCCGGGTGTGACCCAAAAAAGAAAAAAAAAAAAAGGTATGTTTTGCTTTGATGGGGGTTGGGGAGTGTCACAACACTTAGCGACATACTCCTGGCTCTGTGCTCAGGGAAGGCTCCTGTGGTACTTAGGGGAACGACCATACGCAGTGCTGGGGATCAAACCAGGGCTGGCTGTGTGCAAGTTAAGTGCCCTATGCTATCTCGCCGATCCTTACATTTTCTACTCTGGAATCCAGAGAAGCAATATAAAATAAACTTTACCTTTTCAATATTTCCATATAAGCAGAATAGGTTGAAGACTCTTGAGCAGTTCATCTTTAACTGATGTAGTCCACTGACCATCACAACTGAGCCTGAGGGGTTTCCTCCAGGCATGTAGGAGGAAGAAGCCTGCGGGAGCGGATACGCAACAAGCTCAGGGGTGTCTCGAGAGCCCATTCTGTAACGGCTGGGTAAGGGCAGTAACGGACCATGGGAACCTAGAAATGACCAAAAAATAAACCAAGACATGATTTTAGCACAGACACTTCGCACAAAAAGATGAAATCTTACTAACTAGTTTGATGTCCAGGGAAAACTGAAATGTGTGAATATTGAAATAACCTGTGGGAATTAATATAATCTGTATTTATTTGTTGACCTTTAGTACACACCTGCATACATAAGGCTAAAATTTATATTTTTAAAATTATATTTAACAAAAACTTGTAAGATCAGGCTACAGTTAAGTAGGGGAAATCAATATAAATATTTGGGTCACTATAGAATACAACTCACACACTTTCAGGGTAAAATTTATTCTCTTCTATTTTAGGAAACTAAAACCCTGCATTTAATTAATACCTCAAGTATTCTGGAATTTTTGTATTATTCAGAAAACAAAGTCAAGAATCCAGAAGAAAACGCTACAGAATATACAGTGATCCATGTCTCATCCGAGATAATCGACGTAACAACCAACTTGCAAGCAGTAAACAACTTTGGACTTTTCCATCCACTAGATTCAAAGTAACCAGAAGCTGAGTGTGGAGAAACTGATACCGAAAGTGGGCACCGGGCACATTTGTCAAGAACAGAGGCATGAGAACCCTGTCGGAGCACTAAGTCCACACATTTTGGGTGCCTTAGTGATTACAGAGGTATAGGCCCTCAGACATGCAGAGATCTTCCTGCTGTGCTAGAAACCAAGCCCCAAGCGCAAATCCTTCCTTATTTCCCAATGAGAAGGCAAGAGAGGAGGCAGCAACGCCCCTGGCCTCGTCTTTATATAAGACTTGCCACTCACTCAGCTCTTCTGTGTACTGACATTCACAGCACAGAGCGAAACACATGTGAAAACTCAGTTCAGTATCCTGCCTTCTAAAAACAGCCCCAGTCTACCACGGAAAGCCTCCCGGGGAAGACACAGACTGCGTGTTCCGTCATCTGTGGAAGGACTCGGTCAGTGCAGCGGCAGCAGCACTGTCCTGACCTGCAGCTGCCTTCCAGAGCCTAACAGCTTGTCAAAGTAATCAACAGCTCATGATGAGTCATGTGTTAGCAACTGGACATATCCTGGGCTCTGGTACCGACTGTGAAATATAAACATCGTTTTTATTCCTATCGTAGAACTATACACATTATACTACCTTCTTTACTATCTTTTGTTTCTAGAGTAATAGTACTTGCCTATTAATACTGAATTTTTGTTTTTGTTTTGGGGCACACCCAGCAGTGCTCATTTACAGCGGCAGGGTTTATTCCTGGTTCAGGAAATCACCCTTGGCGGGCTCAGGGGACCACATGGGATGCCAGGAATCAAACCTGGGTCAGCGTGCAAGGCAAAGATTGGACCCGCTGTACTATTGCTCTGGTTCCTGAATTTTCTCTTTTAATGGAAAATGGAAAAGATGCGTGGTAAGGGAGATAGGGAATTTCTACTCTGCTTAAGATTGCCATGGCCCAAAGCTTTAAGATCCACAGCCACAGGTCACGTTCAAATTCGATCCAAAAGAGTAACTGATGGTTGTAATTATGACCCGGAGGCATCAGAATCAAATCACTTGCTGTCCTGTACTGTACTGCCCTCCCGCTGTTCGTCGATTTGCTCGAGTGAGCACCAGTAACGTCTCACAACAAATTGTGAGACTTGCTGTTACTGCTTTTGGCATATTGAATACGTCACGGGGAGCTTGCCGGGCTTTGCCATGTGGGCGAGATATTCTCGGTAGCTTTCCAGGCTCTCCGAGAGGGGCGCAAGAATCAAACCCAGAGCGGTCATGTCTGCTGCGTGTGCTACTGCTCCAGCCCAAATCACTTACACACTAAAAGGTTCAAGAAAAAAAAAAAGTCAAGGGCGAGAGAAGTAGCACAGCAGGCAGAGCAGCTGTGGCCCACCCTGGTTCTATCCGGCATCCCATGGTCCCCGAGCACTGTCAGGAGTAATTCCTAAGTGCCGAGCCAGGAGTAAGCCCTTAGCAATACCCAGAGTGGCCCAAAACCCAAAACAACAACAAAAAGTCGTTTAAGAATTTTCATACTAAAGCAGGTGTGGGAGGGATACTGGGAGCACTGAAGAATGGGCACTGGTGGAGGGATGAGTACTCAATCACTGTATAACTGAAACCCAAGCACAAAAAATTGTAAGTCCACAACTGTACCTCATGGTGATTTACCAATAAAAATTTTCAAAATAAATAAATAAAAAAGAATTTTCATACTAAATATTCATGCATACAGTTTGGGGGCTTAAAAACTTATTTCAGGTATTTAGAAAGTTTACTTGTGCAAAAATGTTACACAAGTGGTATTATTAACATCTTAAGGGTACTTCCAGTTTTCAAAACATAAGTCTTTGGTCCAGTAACTATGTCCAAAGATGCAACCACAATTGTAACATGTACATTTTTCCTGAGTCAAGAGTATAAATTCATTTTTTTCACATTCCAAGTAAAGAACGTCTATCTGCTTACCTCTCAATGCTGGGATTTATTTTTTTTTTTTTTTTTTTTTTTTATTTTTTGCTTTTTGGGTCACACCTGGCAATGCACAGGGATTAGTCCTGGCTCTGCACTCAGGAGCTACTCCTGGTGGTGCTCAGGGGACCATATGGGATGCTGGGAATTGAACCTGGGTCAGCCGCGTGCAAGGCAAACGCCCTACCTGCTGTGCTATCACTCCAGCCCCAATGCTGGGATTTCTGAATTTAAAATTCAAGGACTGGGATCTAAGTTGGATGCTCTCTGCACATGGCCAACTCCGGTTCAAATGCCCAGCACTGGGGCTGAAGTGATAGTACAGTGGGCTGGGCACTTGCCTTGCACAGGGCTGACCCAGATTCCATCTCAAGCATTCAATATGGTCCCCCGAGCCCACCAGGAGTGATTTCTGAGTACAGAGCCAGGAGTAAGCCCTGAGCACTGCTGGGTGTAACCCAACAAACAAATCAAACAAAACTCTCTGGGACCATATATGGGTTAAGGAGCAGAACCAGGTAAGCCCCGGGTACTAAGCAGGAGCCGGGGTAAGCCCAGAATACCAGCCCCTGTGACCCCAAAACAAAACCAACATATCAAAGAGTCCTGAAAATCCAAGTTTTTACTGCAGCTATGTATTATTTACTGGAATAATTTAATCTAAATAACATTTTTATTGTCTCTTTTCTCCATACTCTCAGAAAGTATAATTTGCAAATAAACCTGTTATGCCGAACTGCTGAAAGGATACAGCTATGAAAGGCAAAAACTGCCCAGTACCACTGGCACCCTGTCCCGCTCTGCTTTTGCCCCGTTTTCTCTGCTGACTTTTCAAGCCTCTCTCCTTACAGTGCTTACTCCCTGAATAAAGCAGAACAAGGTGCCCCTCAACTCCCCCATCCCCTCCCAGCAGGACTCCTTACAAGTCCTACTGTGCAACAGACACTTCCAAGAATCTTGCACTTTGAGGAAGTTTCAATTCTTTTTGTCCTGTTTTGTTGTGGGACCGCACCAGCTATGCTCAAAGCTTACTTCTGACTCCTCCCACAGGGATCACTCCTCGGGTGCTGAAGATCTAGCCCAGGTCAGCTACATGCAAGGCAAGCATTGTACCAGCTGTACTCTCTCCTGTCTCAGATTCAGCCTTAAGATTTACACGTGCACGCGCGCACACACACACACACGAACTGACAAAGAATTTCACAACGGGCATTTACACTTAAAAGTTCTTCTAAGGGAACCTAATATAAAATATTATATAAAATGCTTTTATGATTTTTCAGTAAAATGTTATTTTATAAAGAAAGGCAAACTTGAAAACCTATGCTGAGAAAATAGTCTGTCGACAGTATTACCTTCCATCTTATCCTTTTACAGATTTTTCTAAGCCCTTCAGCAAAATGATTTTTAGCCTCTAGCAAACAGCCATGGTACATTTGCTCTTGCCCAGCTACCCTGTAAACAGCCCATCTGCCACTCCTTTGGAGCCCTCCAGTACGGGGGACAGTGGGTTCCCAAGTGCTTCCTGACTGTCAGCTCAGAACTACCCAAACAACCACATTTTCTCTGTGAAAGAACAACTAAGAAAAGTGATCAAGGAACATACTCACTAAAGCAACCTTCAGATTTATTCTAGAGTGATTGATCGTTTTCACGTTAACTTCATCTCCGCTGTCATATAAACTACCGTGGAATCTTGAGCACAGAATTTATAACCAGTGAAAAGTCTTATCGATAGCAATCCTCAACATTTACTTACAACGACAATAGTCTAACGAATTCTTTATTCCTGGGGGAAATTGTTATTCTAGGTTTCATAACCTCATCAACATAGCAAACGTTAAAACTGCAGTTCTAAGAATGAGTACAAACTTACCCAGAGCCAAAATAACCAACTATAAAACTAAAAGAATTAAGGGTCTAACCAGAAAAATGCTTCCTTTTCCATAAATACCCCCTTCTCTCTGCCTTTAGTACTCCAAATTCCTCTTTGTTCTTTTTTGCTAGGATTGAAGAAAACACACTAAGCGATAATACTTTTTGGTCCTCTAAAAGACCGGAGCCCATTACTATTCAAAGCCAAACCAAACTGAAATAGAATGGCAGAAGCTTTCCAAAACCCAACCAATAGCTCTCATTTATCTCAATGGCTTATATATCATATATACTAAGAAAACAAAGGATTTTGGATCACTCCTTAGTAATTCATTTTAGGAGATTAATACCATAGAAACCAAGTCAGGTGAGCAGGAAAAAGAGAGAGAAGAAGTGTGCCATTCTTCATCAGAAATGCAACGATTCTAGTAGTTCGTCTATACTACCTTCCTTCTGCCTTGACAAACTTACCATAGCCATCATGTCTAAACGAAGAAGGGTGTTCTCCCAAAATGGCTTGTCTCTGGCGACCCTTTCCTCTATCTGACACAAAAGTAGAAACATGGTTTTAACAATGTGACCCAAGTACTTAACAGAGTTCTCGCATGGGAAACACCCATTCAAAACATCCATTACAATTCATAAAAGAAAAATGATTCCTGGTTAACGTTAAACACCCATTCACATCCAATTTAAATACAAACACCGAAAGTTTAAGGAATTCTATCTAACAAATTCCACTTAACTTGAAAGTATCTTTGTGGCAAATGCCAAACACAAACACGCTTTTCAAATTTAAGGGAAGAATAGATACTTGTCAGAAAGTGAATGTGCACAATGCTAGGGTTTGACACCGTACAGAGTTTTACCAATACATGTCTGTAAACGAGCGTTAAGTGCAGTACTTTTGAGAGACAGTACCTGAATCATACTATTAGCTTCAACAGCAACACATTTTCAAAGTGGGCTTCTTTCAAGAAGTTCAGCATAAGCCAACAACAACCTGTATTACATGGTTTCACAATCAGTAAACACAGAGTATTTGTATGTACATACACATATTTACAAACCCCTACTGACTTGAGAGCTGGAAATTTGCACATCACTGGCCCGTGTTATATATCATAGATTGATCGTTGTCTACAGACCTGAACACCAGGCAGGACCATGAGAACCCTCCACCCAAAGTTTAAATATGCCAAGATAAAGCTAACCAAGGGGGCTACATTATTGGATTTAAGTACTACAACACTCCTAAAGGACAATTTTCATTCTAGCTATGTTTTTCAGAAAAGGCATGCCAATTTCTCCAAATTCGTGACATAAAGAAGAAAATTACTTTTTTCTAAAATAAACTTCCTCTTTTAGTCAATATTTAGAATTTAATCCTACAATACTTCAGAAAGAATCAGATTAGTGTCAAAATTTTTTGTAATGTACTTAAGAGTCTTGTTATTCTAATCTTTGAACATTCAATGAACAAGACTCCACTGGGCTGGCCTCTAGAGCACTTGCCTTGCATGTGAGAGGCCCAGGTTCAATCACCGGCATCCTTCCAAAAAACCGGAAGATTTCTATATACCGTAGACACAAACAAGGGAGGCTTATGGGAGATGAGAAATACTTGAATTTTCACTTCAGTCTAGAGAAATAGCACTCTGATCACAAGCCATCCTGGCACTGGAAGGAACTGGAGTTCCAGTTCCTCGGTTCTGGAGTTAAACTTTCACTCAGTACACAGATTCTCGCAGGATCATCCCTGTGCACCAGGACTATCACAGCCTCAACAAACCCAACACCAGGACATGGGTACTCACTATTTCAGTCCGAAATCATCAGAGTATTATTTTGACGGTATAAAAGACTTGATCCTCCACCCAGAATCTATACTATCTGAGGTCTCATACGTGCACTGTCCTTCTCTAGATGCTTAGAAGTTCTGCTGCATCTCCCCCTCTTTCCCACCATCCTACCCTCTCAACTAAACACCTCATTTTCTTTCTAGGACAAGTTTTCCAGCAACTCTCATCGCTTCCATCTCACAGATCTTAAACCAATCCAGTCGGCTGGTCCATCCTGCTGAAATTCTGCTGAAGCATGCACAAACACTGCATCCAATTCCCCTACCTGGTCAGAAATCCTGACCCAAACTACCATGATGGTGCTTTTGAAGGTACAGCGTGAATAACAATGGCATAGTTGATTAATAGTTCACTATAAAGAAAGCAGCACTGAAGAAATCAGGAAAATCCATCTAATCACTTGTTTGCTGTATAGTCACAGAAACAATCTTCATTCAAAAGATGAAGACATTAAAGTAGATGATTTCTGAGGTCTCTGTGAGCTGAGCATTCCCATTATAAAATCTATTTTAAACACTATCTAATACAAAGTCACTTACAACATAAGTGTGTAGAACACTGCATGCATCGGTCTCTGAACAGTGGTTTGAAACATTTCATGGACTCACCAAAAATCTGACAGGAGCAGTGGATGGACCCCGCCCCTCCCCCACAATACACATGCATGCCAATTTTGCTTAACACTTCTGGAGGGGTTCGGTGGAGTCCAGGCTAAGAATTCTTTGCACTAATATGTAATTTGAGCTGAAAAGGACTGTTTAAAATCGATGTTTATGAAAGGGCTCTTTTTCTTGGTAGCAAAAGTTATCATTAAATATCAACTTTATATGAGCTGAAATCACTACATAAACAAAAACGGAAACTGCTCGTCTTGCCATACAAATATCTACCTGTTAAGAAAATGGAAAACAAGAATTCTTTATCCCTGAAAGCTTTAGCAACTAGAAGTTCTGTTTTACTTTCCTTAATTATATTTCACTGTTGAACACTCGACCTTACACATTTCTAAACTTTCCCGGCTGCAATGCCTTGGAAGAAAAACTAATCTAAGGAGGTTTTATGTAAACTTTAAATCTTCTTTTAAATATAAATAAATACTATTAATAAGCAAATCTGTAAATGTTTTAAGAAACATTAAGAGCAATGTAACCAAAATTCACTATTTAAGTAAGTTAACAAACAACCCCTTGAGTGTTCAATAACCAACTGCAGTTTGACAGAAGTGAGAGATTTCTCATCAACCACTTGTTCTCTTGTTTTGAGTACTAAGGCTCTGGAACTCCAGCACTGCATTCAGCTGTGTCAAGTCTATGTCAAGCCGACTTCTGTGAGCAGTAAAAAATGTGCTTGGGGTTCAGCCAGGATTGTGATACAACCTGTCTGCAGACCCCCATGCAAAAGGCAAGATGATCTCCTGCAGACCTGAGAAAGGCCAGTCCTGGATATGCACACATGCAGAGGACTGTCCGGGTGCCACTCAGCTGTCCTTGGCAGCAGCGCACGCACTGCAGAATCCCCACTGCACAGGACAGTTAGGATGCCACACGGACTTTTACAGGCACATGGTCGACTTCCAACAAGTAGTTCATGCCACGATATTGTAGTGGAGATGTAGCCAATACTGCAGCCCCCTTGTTTTTACAAGATCCACATCCACATTTTAATTTGTATATTCCAGAATTCCCACACAGTTGAACGATTTTGAAAGTCAAATCTATGCTCCTGCATTTATAAGTAAAAGCGCATCTCCATAAAATGCCCTCATCGTCAGATTTATCTCTTCTTTTTTGTTTTGGGGGCCACGCCTGGCTGTGCTCAGGGCTTACTCCTGGCTCTGCGCTCAGAGATGACTCCTGGCAGTGCTCAGGGGACCATATGGGGTGCCGGGGATTGAACCCAGGTTGGCCGCATGCAAGGCAAGCGTCCTACCCACTGTACTTCACTCCGGCCCCAAACCTTTAGATCTATTAAGTATAATCTGCCTGGAACAGACATGCAACTTTTCCCTACATTTAAAATATAAGTTTCTTGTTACACAAGTGGACATGAGTGATAACCTTTAAATCGTTACAAAAAGTGACAACTTATAAACAGCCACTTTACAAAACTCAAACCAGACAAAAAAAATCATTTTTCACATAAATGTACTTTTTCACTGTATTATCCTGCTAAATGTCCACAGCTGAGAAAACTGAAACAAAATCAAGCTTTAGTGCAGCAAGTTGGCACCTTCTACCCTTTTATCTTTAGTATCTGTGTGGACTGGTTGAAGATTATCAGTTCCCAAAACCTAAAGATAAAGGAGCCCTGGTCACATGCCAGTTAACAACTTGAATCTAAGCTGCAAACAGTTACAGTAATGGGCATTAAATTTCACAACACTGTAGTTACCAAAGTCTAGTATTCATGAGTGAAAAGTCTCGAGTCCTACGACTGAAAGCTTACGGGCAATCGGACCGATATAACACACAGCGTGCATAAATGGGCACAGTCTATCATGGGGCTCATCCCATGCAAGTCTGCAGTACTGTAAGTGTCCTCCTTTCAAAGCGTGGGGTGGTGTTGCATGCAGTATGCAGTCATGGTGAGTTGCGAGTCTGCGTTTCTCAGAGGGCTCTGCGGCTGCCGATGTGGTGCATGAAGAGGTGCAGTCAGCCTGCCGGAGTCCTCTAGCCTTCTGAATGCCTCGTCCAGCGTGCGGGAAAGTCCTTTCCAGAGAGAAGCAGTGTGCGGGTTTGCAGTTTGTAAGAATACTCTGAATCAGTTCCTCTCCTCCAAAGAGAGAGAGCTGCTTGGAGAAAGGCAAGTCCTGGAACTGCGGGCGTGCCTGTATGTGTGGGCTCCTTGTTGCACTACATATAAACAGCTCAGTACATACCAGGAGGGGGCACTAATGCTCAAGGTTATTTTCCAGCACTGCATGATTCACCAGCAAGGTTTTTCATTGGAATGAACTAGCTCATCTCAGGAAAAAGGAACCTAAGTGCATGTAAAGATGGTCGCAGACTTAGTAAGTTCATTCTAAAATGCAGAATACTTACCTCGCCTTCCCAAATACGGTTTAGTGTAGTCCCAACTGTCATTGTCATTCCTAATAACATTTAGACGAGTTGGCTGTTAAGATCAAAAAGAAAGTAAGTTTGAACTGTACATCCATGGCATAATTATTTCTTTGGCAAAATGTTTGAGAATATTTACCCTTGCATATTCGATTTTCAGTGTGCAACATCCAGCATATATGTCTGCTCCATTGAGTGCTGCTTTGGCTTTCTGGGCACAAAGAACAGATTCAAACATGAAGTTCTATTAAGGAATCAGATCTGACTTAAAAGACCCAGTATTTGATCACTGCTCAAGTCCTGAGAAAAAGAGTGAAAATAATCAGAAATAACTTTAACTTTTACAAGTGTTTTATCAAATAAATTTCTAGAGGAATTTCAGGAGAATTTTTTTTTTTTTTTTTGCTTTTTGGGTCACACCCGGCAATGCACAGGGGTTACTCCTGGCTCATGCGCTCAGGAATTACTCCTGGCGGTGCTCGGAGGACCCTATGGGATGCTGGGAATCGAACCCGGGTCGGCCCCGTGCAAGGCAAACGCCCTACCCACCGTGCTATCACTCCAGCCCCAAGGAGAATTTATTTTTAAGGCCCAGAATACCAAAGAAAACATAATATAACCTAAAAATCTGCATTAATTCTCCTAAATCATCAAAAAAACTTAGGGGGACAGAGAAAGAGAGTACAGTGGGTAGAGCATTTGCCCTGCAAGCAGCCAACCCAGGTTCCATCCCCAGCATCCCATGTGTCACCCAAGCCTCATAAGAAATGATACCTAAGGGGCTGGAGCAATAGCACAGCAGGTAGGGCATTTGCCTTGCACGCAGCTGACCTGAGTTCAATTCCCAGCAGCCCATATGGTCCCCCGAGCACCTCCAGGAGTAATTCCTGAGTGAAGAGCCAGGAGGAACTCCTGTGCATTGCTGGGTGTGACCCAGAAAAAAAAAAAAAAACAGAAAGAAGTGACCCTTTAGCAGAGTCAGGAATCAGTCCTGAGCACAGTCAGGTGCCCCCCCCCCCCAAATCACTGTAGCACTGTCATCCAGTTGTTCATCAATTTGCTCGAGTGGGCCAGTAACGCCCGCACCCCCCCCCAAAAAAAATACTAGGGCCAGAGAAAGAGCTCAATGGGCTGAGTGCATGCTCTGAATGTGGGAGTCCTGGGTTTGATCCCTGGCACCCTGGTCTCCCCCACAACCCCAAGCACTGCCAGGGGCAACTCATGAGGCACAGAGGAAGGGGTAATCCCTCAACCCTAGTGTGGCCCAACAACCAAAAACAGTAAATAAAAATTGGATTATACTATGTGCACTATTCTGCAATTTGCTCTTTTTACTCAATATGAAACAAAGTTCACATAGGGAAATGCTCTTACTTTAAGGTATGACTGCTTAAAATTCCAATCAGGAAAGGGTTTGTGGGGTCTTAAATTTCTGTGCTGCCAAATTACCTGCTTTACAGAAAGATTGTGTTAAAAGTTTGTTTGGAATCAATTCCAAAAAATAGTACAAGCATGCACATAATCCAACATGGGGGTTTCTTCTCTGTTCAGTCAGAAGAAACAGACAGCTCCAGGAAGAATGTGTTCTGGTTGATGGACACGATGTGGTCAGAGCACCTGAGGTGAAGGCATGGTGGCCCTAGAATACAAACTGTCAGCTCTCATCACTCAGCTGAGAATCATAGGGAGTGTTCCCCACTTTACAAAAAAATAATAGGGTCCAAGAGATAGCACAAAGGGCTTAGAGCAAAGGACTTAGCAAAGAGCTCCTGGCACAGACTGGTCCCTGAATACAGAGCAGGGAGTAGCCCTGAACACCAACAGTGGTGATCCAAAACGAAATAATGAAATTGATATTTAAAAAGAATAAAAAGCCAGAGACATAGTACAGTCTTAAGGTACTGGCTTTGCATGGAATCAACACAGTTCAGCTCTCGGCACCATACTCAGCCTCTCAGCACCAGCAGCTATGGGCCAAAACAAAAACCATTTTTCAAAAGCATTAAAATATGAGGTGAATCCCTGGGCTGTTTTATGGTGGCAAATACTCCTATCACGTATAGTAAAATTTCTATTGGTACAATAAATTCCTTCTTTAAACCCTAACCAAATCGCTTTGGGGAGTGAGGGATAAGTAAATAACACTTGCCTTGAAATGACCAAGCAAGAAAAATAAGATGCCGATTACACAACAGTCAAACGCCAACAGAAATTTACAAATAAAGGATATTCAACCATTGCTTGTATCCCATTTCTCTTGAAGATAACGATGCGCTGCACTTTTCCGACAGGGTTGCACACAGTGTATAAGACATCCTGAGAAGGAAAACAATCTTTCTTATTTCATATACAGAAAAGCATTAAAGCTACATACTTGTTTTGCTAAAAACATCTAACTGTCACGATGTCATTATCTTATTTGCTGATCAACTTTAAAAAAGGCTTCACAGTAACAGGTCTAGTTGGAAGCCACTATTACAGAGTTCACTGAAAGCATAGATTCTTGGGACCAGAGTGCTAGCACAGCAGGGAAGGTGCTTGGCTTGCATGCGGCCCACCTGGGTTTGATCCCTGGGATTCTATTTGGTGCTCCCAGCCCCACCAGGAATGACCCCTGAGTGCAGACCCACTGTACTAGCTCCCCTGACCCAACTAAAGATACTTTACTAAGAGGCAAAGCAGGAAAATACGCATACATCGGCCAGGTTTTTAATACACTACCTTAAAAAAGCGAACAATGTGTACACCTACTCTTCTATCGGATTCAGGAGTTATTAGTAGACATCACCTAGCACACCACCAAGAGGTTTCTTTGATCACATCCCACAAATTTAGCTAAAGTTAGCACTTACTTTGCACATGCCAACCTCAGTTTGTCTCTTGAACCCGAGCACTGGATGAGCTCCGGTACCACCCAGCACTGCTGAATCGGGCCAAACACAGCTGGGCAAGTATCCCCAGGAGTGATCCCAGACTCACTGAGTACTTCCTGGGAGACCTCTCAAAAAACTGGGGGCAAGGGGTGCTGGAGTGTGCGGCGCATGCACCTGAGCCAGGCGCAATCCTGGATCTGCATTACCGTCCCCTCAGCACAGAGCCACCAGCCGGCGAGTGCTGTGGGGTGGGAACCAAACCGCCCACCCTGATTTCAAGTTACTGTGCTTTCCTGATGACTGTTCTTCTAAGCATCCGTGCTCACCAACTTTTGTTCATTAAATTTGACAGTAAAAATTTTCTGAAAAAAGGTATTTCAATTATGGTAGTGAAAAGAAACTTTTTCTTTGTCTTTTCTCTTGTTCATTTTATTTTTGTTCTGTTTTAAAGTGATCCGCAGGCAATGCTCAGGCACCATATGTAGTGTCAGGAACGGAACTCGAGCTGAGTGCATGAAAGGCAAGCACCTTACTCACTGTACTATCTCTCCGGTCCCAAGACTATCATTTTATCTGTCACTCCAAATTCCAGAATCTATGGTGCCACTCAACCCTGGGTCAAATAAATTCAAGGCTCGCACCCTATTGCCAAGTCACATTCCCAGCCCTAAGAAAGCCTGCTACTCGAAATCACCTACCACTGTGATCGGATAAAGGGGGTTCTGAATTGACAGCAGAAGAACTTTGTTGCCTCCTGATGGATCGTCGGTATTTCCTGGTCGCGTGATCCTTTTGCTTGTAGAATAGTTGAAAAAAGCCTGTTGGCCAGCAATGTACACAGGCTCCTCGGCAGCAAAAGTCACGCACTCTTTGGCACTGTCTACGTTCTCGAATTCCACCAGAGCCTGCCGTTTAAACGGCATCATCATCACATAGCTGCAGAGATTGGGAGGGATAAACGTGCAGTGAAGAGGTTGAAGTCATTTATTCTCAAGCAAAGCACTGTAGCACTGTCCTCCCGTTGTTCATCGATTTGCTCGAGCGGGCCCAGTAACGTCTCCATTGGAGACTTTGTTGTTACTGTGTTTGGCATATCGAATACACCACGGGGGAGCTTGCCAGGCTTTGCCGTGTGGGCGAGATACTCTCAGTAGCTTGCCAGGCTCTCCGAGAGGGGTGGAGGAATTGAACCCGGGTTGGTCGGCCCGGCCATGCGCAAGGCAAACACCCTACCGCTGTGCTATCACTATTCTCAAGCAAAAGCAGGTTTTAATAGAAATGATAGAACACAAGTATTCTTCATTACCTACAAATATTTGGCGGTCACTTCTTAAATCATCCAAATGAATCCTGGTATATAGCAAGCGGACAGTGCAAACTGGAAAGCTCATCCCAGTCGGAGCTGCAAGCGTGTTCACTTCAGATCTTTCCCAAGCACAATTCTCCATTATCAGCTACTAACGGCACCCCCTCACTTACTTCCAGGCTGTCTAAACAGCCTCAAAGCACTACTGAAAATATCAAGGTGCATGGCCCAAAAGGTAGCTCCACAGCAGAGCACTTGCCTTGCATCGGTGAGACCCTGGGTTTGTTGCCCAAACAACCCCCCTCCCCCCCCCCACAGACCGAAGAAAGAAGCTGAAGGAAAAAAAGGGGGGGGAAAGAGATGAAACCCAACAAAAGACTAGCCCAAACAACAGAAGCTACTTCTCTTGAAGTTCCCACTAATAACTGACTACTTTCATTTATCATACTAAGAAGAGTTATCCTCAAGATAAACAGACCCAAATATTTTATGTCTGAACTGACCACATTTTACACAGAAAACCTCCTCTTCAGAATTTAGAACAGCAGGCTGAAGCAATAGGCCAGGACAGCAGAATGAGGGAAGACTGGTCCATGGCTGGAACCTGCCGAGAGGGGCAGGGGTGGGGCAGGGCGGTGGTGGTGGAGACAGGACAGAGATAAATCTACTATGGCAATGACAGTTGGAAATGATCACTCTGCACTGAGAACTGAGTGCTGAAAGGAGGTAAAGAGATACACACGGTAACTTCTCAGTGCCTGTATTGCAAACAATAAGGCCCAAAAGGAAAGAGAGTGACAGCGACTGAGTGAGTGAGCGAGCGAGCGAGCAAGGGGCAAGGAAGGAGGAGAGAGGAAGGAGAAGAGGGAGGGAGGGAAGGAGGGGGGGAGAGAGAGAGAGATTAAGAGAGAGAGAGAGAGAGAGAGAGGTATCTGTGTAGAGGCAGGTGGGGGTGGGGGGTGAGAGGGAGACTGGGGACACTGGTGGTAGGAAATGAACGATGGTGAAAAGACAGGTGTTAGAACTTTGTATGCCTGAAACCCAACCATGAACAGCTTTGTAACTGTTTATCTCACAGTGATTCAGTAAAAAAAAATTTTAGAAAAAACGACAGTGCATAGGGCACTCGCCTTGCATGCCACTAACTTGGGTTCAATCCCTAGCGTCTCATACGGTCTCCTGAGCCCCACCAGGAGTGATTTCTAAGTACAGAGCCAGGAGTAAGCCCTGAGCACCACTAGGGGTGGTCAAAAAAAGATGCTTCATAAAGGCTGAAAGACATTTACCACAACAGTCACCACGGTCACCTACAGCAACCAGGCCAGAAGGTAAAAACGTTTTGGTGTTCCAGAGCCACACCTCGTAGTGCTCAGGGGAGCACAGACACAATGCCAGGATCAAACCCAGGCATCTTGTTTCAAAGCATGCATTCCAGTCAACTGAGCTATCTCATGGGCCCTGAAATGAATAGCTGCAGGGACGGGGTGGGGGCACACCCCATTGTTCTCAGGACTTCCTTCTGGCTCTGTGTTCAGGAAACCACATGTGTGCTAGGGCTCAAACCTGGGTCAGCCACGTGCAAGGCAAGTGTTCTATCCACTGCAGTATCTCTCCTGCTCCCAAGCAGGAAAGAGATGGTGCGACACAGCTGCAATGGTAGCACCCAGGCCTAGCCCATACCACGCTCTGCATCTAATCCCCAGCACAGCGTCACCGCCACTCTCAGCCCACCCGACAGAATGTGGCTCTAGACACTACTCGGAGTGGCCTCTACTTCTTAAAAATAAAGGAGAGAAGTCACAGTATAGGAATCACAGCCGACAAAACAGCATATTCTACTTACAAAAACAAGAAGCTTAAAATGTTTCAAAAACGTAATTATCGTATGTTTTTATAACAGAGGATCAATATTTTACATAAATTACACCTTCATTGTTTAACAGTTTGCTTGGGAGCCATACCCGGCAGTGCTCAGGTGTTATTCCTGGCACACTCGGAGGACCATATGGGGTGCTGGGGATAGAGACCAGGTCAGCCCCATACAAGGCAAAAACCCTGCCTGCTGTACTTTTGCTCCAGCCCCTGTCACTGTCACTGTCCTCCCGTTGTTCATCAATTTGCTCAGTGGGCCCAACAACGTCACCATTGTGAGACTTGTTGTTACTGTGTTTGGCATACTGAGTATGTCACAGGGAGCTTGCCAGGCTTTCCCATGTGGGCGAGATACTCTCGGTCGCTTGCTGGGCTCTCCGAAAGGGGCAGAGGAATCAAACCCAGGTCAGCCGGTCGGCCACGTCCAAGACAAATGCCCTACCACTCCAGCCCCTAATTTATTAAGAAAAAGACTAGAGATGGGGCTGGAGCAATAGCACAGCAGGTAGGGCGTTTGCCTTGCATGTGGCCAACCCGGGTTCCATTCTCAGCATCCCTTCTGGTCCCCTGAGCACCGTCACAGGTAATTCCTGAGCGCAGAGCCAGGAGTAAACCCTGTGCCGGATGTGACCCAAAAAGGGGAAAAAAAAAAAAAAAGACTAGAGAAACAATGCATACAGAAAACCCTAGTGAAAGGTAATTACTACTATATTTTCTACAAACCACACTTCACTCATCTTTATACCTTCAAAAGCCAGGAACAGCCCAGTGCATTAACCAACACCTGCTGCTCTACAAGTCTGGGAAGCCCATCCACATCAAATGAAATTATACAGAAATATGCTCTGGATTCAAGTTCAACTGTAAGTGCAAGATACAAATCCTGCGCCATCTTACAGCACACAGCAGTGAAGAAAAAAACCGGCTGGAGGGCCCCACAGCTCCCGGAGAATTCTCTGGGCCCCATCCAGAGCCGATATCATCGGGAGGTCCCAGATGGGGTAGGTGCTGTCTCCCCGCCTTCTCCAGATGGAATCCCTGCAACCATGAGCTACTACAAGCATGGCTCTGGCATGCGGGTACCAGGACTTTTTTCCGAACTGCAATGGGGCCACCCCGGCTCCCAGACAACCTCTGATTCCGGAAGTCACGCCCACAACCTGCCCCCAGCACCATCTTACAGAACACAGCAGCGAAGAAAAAAACCGGCTGGAGGGCTCCACAGCTTCCGGAGAATTCTCTGGGTCCCATCCAGAGCCGCTATCATTGGGAGGTCCCAGATGGGGTAGGTGCTGTCTCCCCACCTTCTCCAGATGGAATCCCAGTGACCATCAGCTTCTACAAGCAGGGCTCTGGCATCCAGGCGCCAAGATTATTTTCTGAACCGCGCAGCTGCTTATGAGGCTGCGCGACATTTCCTGATATACAAAGTGATCAGTGGAAAGTAAATGATCTGACATTTGTCCCTGAAAATCAGGCTTCGGTGGTGGTAGGAAAATCTGAGCAAAAGATAATGCCCAACCGAAATACATCTGGACTGTGTATTTAACTATGGTGCTATGCCGCCCTGGGAAGGGAAGGGTGTCTGTCCCTCCGCCTGTCCCCCTTTGCGGCGGCAACACTGTGGTCTGCATCTTTTAGAGCCTAATGAAGAGCCAGGTATGACTGCATTGACGAGGCACGTGGGGCTTCATGGGATGGGGTGCAACAGGCCCTGCCCCCGCCATGACAATGCTCCAGGTTGCCATCCTCAAACGTCTCCTCTGACTTCTGACTGACCATGATCCCAGAGGCACATACCAATCTCAGAACCCAGGATCTTCTTGCAGTAATCCCTCTAGGTTTATTAGTAAAATACCAGAAATCCAAATTCGCATGGCCACTATTGTGGCCACACGACATCATATCCTCTTCATAATCAGCGATAGAAAACAAATTTTCGGGGATATGGTGCCGTCAGCAGGTCAATCTGTACCTCTGAGGCGAGTGCATCAGCAGCCTGATGGCGCCGTCAGACTTCCAGATACCCCGAAATTGCTGCTGTGCCTTCGGCCAGACCCCAAAACCTTGAGGCAAAGATTACCAAGAAAGTAAATGGCCAGAAGTTGGGTATGTGAGAGACACACCCACAAACCACCTCCGGCTCAGCTATATAATTGGAGGCATGGCCTCTCTGGTTTCTGATCGAACTGCTTGACAGCCATGATCCCAGAGACTCAGAGGCAAATCTTGGAACCCAAAGGCTTTTGGCGAGGGGCTGGAGTGATAGCACAGCGGGTAGGGAGTTTGCCTTGCACGCGGCCAACCCGGGTTCGATTCCCAGCATCCCATATGGTCCCCTGAGCACCGCCAGGAGTAATTCCTCAGTGCAGAGCCAGGAATCACCCCTGTGTGCATTGCTGGTGTGACCCAAAAAGCAAAAAAAAAAAAAAAAAAAAAGGAAAAAAAAGGCTTTTGGCAGAAATGCATTCTGTTCCTGCAGTGGGTTACTGGTGCTGGGCCACTCCAGGTGGGAATAGGTTTCATGCCTTGGCCTGTTCCCCTTTACGGTCCAGTGACCACCATCTTCCAGAGACCACTGGACGGTCAGGTTTAGGCCTGCAGTGACAAGACACACAGGGCCTCACCAGTTGGGGGTGGAGCTGGCTCTTTCCTCCCCATCCCAGCAAGACCCCGAGTCGCCGCCTACAGGCGGCCTCTCTGGCCCCTGATGAAGCTGATTAACAGCCATGGTCCCAGAGACTCAGAAACAAATCTC